TGAAGAATAAGGAGTAAGGAGAAGACGTGGAACATACAGCAGCAAGTGTAGTTGTGTATAATCTACGATTTTTCTAATTCTATTTTTCCTTGCTCTGTTTATATGAAAAGATGGACAAAATCTTTTGAGAGGGAAGAGATAGGTTCTTGCGCCATTGACCTTGTTGGGGATGGTCAATCCTATAAGTATATAACTATTTATATAAGATGGATACTGAAGAATTATTTAATGTCTCGTGGACACCTCTCCTTCAATCAAGAACTACAGTACCAGTACTCTTCTCCTTATAATTCTTGTTTTGCAATCTGTGGGCTATTAGTCCGCGGTACAGACCTCTTTTTACCGATTTATTAGAAATAAGGTGGCCTTCGAAAATATTGAACCGTTTGGCGTTGATTGACAAATATTGACCCCCAAATTTTCAAAATAACGAGGTTATATTGAACAAACGGCCCAATATTTTTGTAGGCTACATTTTTTATTGATTTTGTGATGATATTATCTTACGATCCAAGTAGAAAGCAAATGGGTATTTACTGAGTTTTTAGTACCTAATTAAATAGACAAAGTTTGTCCCCCTCCAGATTGAAAACGTCTCAATTCCAAAAGCTTTTTTAAATAAAATTGTTGTAGGTTACGATGAGATAAAACTATATACAAAATTCCAAGCGGATGTTAATAAATCGATAAAAAGGGATCTGTACCACGGACTATATAGTTCTCCATGATCTTTGATAAGAAGATGACCCACGACCTTCCAATATAGAACTCATATTGAACAACTACTATTATTACATAAAATGTCACTTCATGTCAATCAGAATGGATGCTTGATAGTATTAATCCAGTTATAATTGTCAAGATTTAAAAAAAAATACTGAATTTATTTTTCATCACTAATATCAGCTAAGGAATAGGTATGCTATCCATAAAGATAGGAATACAAAAGTACAGAAATAGACCTAATGAATCGGTAATATAATTTATAGATGGCACTTGAACTTGTGGACTGGTCTCGACCTAATCGCATTTGGGATCTGACCTTCCATGATGGCCCCATTCCGTTTTCATGGATGTTGAAGGCACATAAAACAAGACAGTTTATATCATCCTCAATCTCGAGAGCTGGAGAGCTAACGAACTGGAGAGAACACGACTTGGTACTGCTAATTTCGAAAATGATCCTTTGGTTCCGAGATGTTAAGCTTAACGGAACAACAATTTCGTACGCCGTCTGTCGTAAATCCTGAGGGATAACTTTCCAAGGCCATAAACCAAGCGCTAAACTCGGTGATGTACGTCAACCTTGTTCCGAACTTGAGTGATGCATATACTTGAATTTCAACTCGTAAAACAGTCATCTTAAATTCATCGGTCATCTGTCATCACAGGGGGGCAGTGGTTCTATATGATGTAGACAACTACTTGTGAGATTTCTTATGGATCAATGGTGGATCTACAGGACTCTTGTAGACACATCAATGAACTTAATTAATTACTTTGTCTATACAATCGATTTTAAATAGAACTAGATATGAAACAGTTAGGTAATCTTTCTACAATTTCCCTCAAATTCCGTGGCTAAATAAATAAACTAACTCTATGCCCGCAACTGTTTCTGATTACTATAGTAGTCGTAATTTCTAATTACTAGATTGGTCATATACAAAATTTCTTCACCATCATTTATATGGTGTGTTTCAGTTCTTAATGGACGAAATCTAGAAGATGATTCTAGATCAAAGTTCGTTTGATGCATGGAACAGAAAAGGAATTAAGACCAATTTTGTATGATCTCGTTTTTTATTAAATAACAAGGTATTGCTCAAAAACTGTTCAAGATAATAAAATTCCAAGTACACCATCGTAAAGTTAGACAAAATGTTTTTGGAAAAAACAGTGATTAAATTTACTAAGGTCAATGATAAAAGGTTCTTTCAGGGGGTCTAATAGGGCTGATTTACTGCTGCAGTTATATATGCATGAGCAGCGCAGCTCTGTACAACGATCGTTTTAGATCTCCTGAAAGTCCCATTTATCAATAACCTAGTAAAGTTATTCACTGTTTTCTAAAAAAAAAAATGTTGTCTATTTCACGAGAGTGTTCTGAGAATATAATTATTTTTAACAGTTTTTGAGAAATTCGTTCTTATTCAATGGAAAACATAACTACCTTAAGAAAAACACAAAATTGGTTTTAACTCCTTTTCCATTCGGAATCGGCCAATGCAACAACTTTTTTGTTGAAAATTTATTCTAGAACCATCTCATAGAGTTGGCCATTAAAAAGTGAAACACTTTGTATATTGACAAATAATCTATGTATAATAAAATATTTAACTTAATTGTGTAATAAAATATAAAATTTTAAATAACTAAAAATAACGTAAACTTTTCTCATCACGTTGAAGAAGACACAAACCAACTAACAGATTAATAATTTACTTTAACATAATGCGCATCAGATATAATAATAATTAGATATAGAACACTTCAATAGGTGTTAAGCTCAACATGCCTCGTTATTTAATTCATTGTTCGATTAAAACATATTTTATCCATTAACCAATCTTTTTATGTGATTATTTTATAATACGAAAATCAAATTTTTTTTTTTTATTTACCATTTTTATCATATCTAAAATATAATGACGATAGTTAATAATATGAAAGCATTTTTAAGCCGTTCAAATGATTAAAGGGTTTGATATGCTCAATAGTTATTATCACATTTAATTATTACTATATTGAAATTTATATATGATGTTTCAAATATTTTTAGTCAAATATGGTGCTAAGCACCAAAAACTTCTTAGTAATCTTTTTATTATTTGGGATTATAATCGATTTTAAAAAATCATATTTTTTATTCCATCTTACTTCTTTACAGATATAAACCTCGTAATTAGTCACTGTTCAGCATTTGTGTTGTGCACATTATTAGTAACGTTATTTTTTTTTTTAAATTATTTAGTTAACAGTACAGCACTGTTACAAATCGCCAACTCCTAAAGCAAATAAATTGTTAATTTATTAGGCTATGTAAAATCTATCTAACATTAATGGAGCTATTATTTATACCTCAACACTTATCGCAATATTGTGTCACCCACTCGCTATTTACTAATGTTCGCCGTACTTAATATCCGTATCAAAAGCGGGTAAATTCCATTTCTTTTTAAGGTACAACTTTTTTAAAGTATTTATACTTTCTAGCGACACTTTAATCTTAAGTTATTGCTGTACTTTACGAAAGTTTCTTCAGGCCGAGAACAGACATTCACGCCCTTGATAGTAATTCTAAATAATGGCCCACACTTGCGCCTATGAGCTACTCCCGGTACGAACTTTCTAGCTCTTACATTTGATGATACCTCTTATGTCTTGCGTCACGTCGGAGTACGTGTTCTTGGCTACGGATATAATGTATTCACACATTTTAACGTAGCTTGCCCTTTCTTGGAGATAAATCTTCGTAAGGGGCAAGGTCTAGTAGGATTCCGAAGTTGCCCTGAGGTGCCCTTCACACTTAACTATCCTCATCAACGAAGCACAAATCATATCCCAAGTCGCTTGGTCCTCGAGTGTCAAATTAACCGACCATTATCCCATTTTCTGGAGGTAATGGGTCAATTTGTCTGTCGTAGCTCATCTTCCATCCGAGCTCGTAAAGGCTGACGGCAACCATATTTCGTCTAGATGTTATATTTTCTATTTCATGGTAGGAGAAGAACTGGAAGGAAGTAGTATACATTATGTTAAGATATATGAATTTTTAACTATAATTTCACGGATTGGCACGATTTGTTTATCATTCCGAATGAAAGTATTTTAAAAGAATCAGACTTTGTCGGTATTCCATCCTCATTATTAATTTTTCCACTTTAATTTTTACTGAGTGTTACCATTATTACGTCGAAGTAAATATAAACAAATATATCCATACCTTATTTCTAAGAAAAACATTTTTTTTAATTAATATACGAATCCAAGGTTATTTTATTATAGACCGTGGTACAGACCGCTTTTTGTCAAATTAATAATATCCGTCTGAAACTTCGTAAATAGCTTCATCTCATCGTAACATATAAATATTTTTTTTACAAAAACTCTCAGAATTGTAGCATTTTCAATCTGCAGATCAGCAAACTTTGTCTATTTAATTAGGTACTAAAAACTCATGAATAACCGCTTTCTTTCCACTTGAATCGTAGGATAACATGTCGAAAAAAAGGAGGCCTACAAAAATATTGATCTGTTTGGAGTGACCGCCATCCCGAAAAAGTTAAAATAGCGAGTTTATTTAGGCCTAAATAAAATCCTATAATATTTTTGTAGACTACATTTTTTTTCGATTTTGTGGTCATATTTTACGATTCAAGTAGAAAGCAAATGGGTATTCATGAATACCTAATTAAATATACAAAGTTTTTCCGATATCCGGTTAAAGGCCCAATTTCTGAGTATTTTCTTAAATCAAATATTTATAAGTTACTATGAAATTAGGCTATTTACCAAGTTTCATGGAGGTGTTCATAATTTGATAAAAAGGTGTCTGTACCACGGACTATTATTATTTAATCAGCATTTAACTGTTTCTAGTTTAAATAAAGTTATGAAATATAATTGATGGCTTAAAGGCACAAATAATAACAAAAAATTATGTATAAATCTTATACATAATTTTTATAATGATATTTTATCAATAAATTTAATGTGTTAAAGAAAAACAAAAATCGGACCATTTTTAGCAAAGACGCAACCAGTAATGTTAGTTTATACACTTGATTCAATTTTTATTTTAAATGAAAATCAATTCCTTTCTTCCATAATATTTTGAATTTTCTTCTTATGTCTTACTTTGCCGTTTGCACTCTGACCAGTATATATTGCAAATTGTTCGCACGGTCCAACTAAGATACAGCTAAGGTATGAACAAGCAGAGCGATACTCCAGTTCTCATCGTCTAACCGAAAACTGACCAATGCTTGATGATGCTCAGGATGACAGGGCCTGAAGAGAGGAGTATTCCACTGGCGCCGGGGTACGAGCAGTACTCCCGATCCCTGCTGGAGGTACCCTACACCCCCACCGAGTACGGCGAGGCCTCATCGGATGACCTGTCTTCGGAGTGGGATTCTGACGTTCCCGAGTCCAAGCTCAAGGTAAGTCACAGCAATACTTACAGCATGTTCCTTCTGGGATATGTCATATCACTTCAGCCTTCTTTCTTAGCTTTATAACATTTAATTTCATGTATCAGATAAATTGAGAATATAATGTTTTCGTTGAGTTTCCTGTGAGTTGTATATTTGTTTGTTGTGTAAGGATTTACAATACTAGCTTTCTTGAGGGACAGTTCCAATAAATTCCAGCTGAGAGATGGGTTCCCTTTCACTATTGTACTCTTGCAGTAGCATACAACCTCTGTACCCTTGCCAAGATTGGTATATTTACTGTAGCCGCAACTGGAGGTAATTCAGTTAAATATGCCGAGTTGGAATGGCCCCAAGGAACCCGATACCCTCTTCCCACCCTGAGTACTGAATAACATCGTAAAATGGCGGCTGAGTAACGCGGTACCTAGCCGAATAGGCTTATCTCGATTTATATTTCGATCTCAATATCGATAGGGCAGCCTGTTTATATTCACTGCAATCTCCGGTCATTCTTATTTTCTTCACTTTCTCGAGAGATCTTCAGATAGCGCTTGCATTCTTGCACTTGTGTTTGATTGCATTCCTTATCGCCCATGTTCATCAGAACGGTACCACTGATGTACGATCTAGGTTTAAAATTAGTATTCAGTAAAATGTCAATATATTTAACTATTTTATTTTTTCAGTGTATCATTGACCTTTTCAAGATTTATTCTTAAAATTATCTTATATTTATTCTCATCTGTGTTGGGCATGTTCTATAATATCTGTTGAGAACGTTGGATAATTTCTGAATTTGCATGTGTCCTAAGTATAAATGTTGCTCTTTTTGGATAATTTTTTTTGTGAAGTTGAATACGACTAGTGTTGCCCAAATGCGAGACCGAGACGAGTCTTGGTCTTACAAACTCAGTCTTGGTCATGGTCTTGGTCTTGCACAATACTCTCGCAGCAGTCTTGCAGTTACTTATTAGCTTATTACTATAGAGATATTACTGTATTTTTTTAGATAGGAGAAACCTAACGAAGTCAGAATGAAAAATAAGAGGAGTTGAATGCAAAAGTATATTAGTTATATCAATTATTAACATACAGTAACTAAGATTGCCAAGTATTAGTAACTTTTTTGGATTAATTTTTATTTAAAAAATTGATTTTTTTTATCAGTCCTGGTCTTGGTCTTGCAACAGTTAAGCGGCCTTGGTCTTGGTCTCGAAAAGTGCAAGACCAAGACCGAACTTGGGCAACATTAAATACGACTAAGGAAATCGCACTTATCAAACCTAAATAGACTTTTAACTTATAAAAACATTTAACGACTTGTACGTAATTCAGGCATGTAAATACTTTAAAGATTTGTTTTTACTATCATTTCAAAGTATTGGTCAGGGTTACAAATAATATTAATTTGAAAAATATTTTAGTCATCTTCAATCATTGTAAATCCTCTTGTTTCCCGAAAAGATAATTATTTTTTTCAAATTATTGTTAATTTAACCCCTTAATATATTATTTCTGTGAGAGCGGGGTAGCTCAGTTGTAGGGCACTAAGCTTCCGGTACTCAGGGCCCCAGGTTCGATTCCCGGCTCATGGCAGAAAAATTATTTATTCAGTTTCATTGACCGTGGGGCGATTCTGGGGCAGTGAGGCCCTCCTGGGCCACACCCAGCCTCTATAAAGTGGGTAACTTTAAACAATTGATTAAGGGGGGAAACCTGGCTCGATCCCCTACTTGCACAACCGTAGGCCTTGAAACTGTACTTGTCCTAAATAGTACAAGACCCGAGACCCTTCATGGGTTGTAGTGGTACAGATTTTTCATATATTATTTCTAATTATTTTCAAGAATACCTTATATTAATTGTAAATGAAAAATTTCGGATCAATTCTTCAGTATTGTTATTATAGTAACCAATTCCTAAGATTTTTAAATGTTTTTATTGTGGGATTGTCTTATATTTATTAAATAATCTATATAGCTCAACAAATCTGACGATTCGAAGTCCTACATCCATACGACTAAATAGATGCAAAATATTCTCCTCTCAATCAAACTCTTTTTCCAATGTATGACCGGCCTGAAGGTTACTGATAGTTTTCTTTCGTGAATGATAAAATTTGTTGCAATTAATATGTTCTTCAGAGTAATCGATTCTTAAGACAGACCATGAAGAACAGCTGACAATTAGGACGGCTCGTTCTGGAACTAACGGTCCTCGAGATGAGATAAGGCTCCGCTGACATATCGTTCGGTATTCGCTGACACATTGCTCCAGGAAAGGGCGTTCTGGACATGAGTGCATGACGGAATACCGTTCCTCCGTGTCTTGCAGAAACTATATTACCGCCTATGCACGTCAGTATCTAGAATGATCTGAAAGTTGTCGGATCGTGAACATGAAATCTTGCTATTAAAGGAGTGTGGGGTACACCTCATACATGAGTTGACCTCGGACAAGATTTGAGAGATCAAAATATCAGACTTGTCACTGAGCGGGAATGATTTTTAAACCATTTGTGGATGAGATTGTGTTCCACTACTCGATCGATATCGATTTGGCGAACTGGCATAGTGAAATATGATTTGAGAAAATGATCTGCCATTGATAACATTTCCAACACCAAACTAGGTTTTAAAAAATGCAAAACCGAAATTTTATGCTTTTCCTGATTTTTGAGGATCCCTCGTTCTAAGATTCATAACCGATGAACTTCTTTAGATTCGCAAGAAAATGTAATTTTAAAAGAAATGATCCAAGCAAAATCGTTCGATTAGTTTTAGCTAATATCAATATTAAGAAAATTTTCGCTTTTTTAAAAATATATTTAAATGAATTTATGTCAGGAGAACGGTTTTTTTTTTACTTCATGTCAATATATTAAAAAAAATATATATATATTTTTTTATTATTATTTGACACTAGTCATTAAATGTAAAACAATTCAAAATAGCATAAATCTTTTCGGAAAATATATTTATTATATGAAATTATAAAATACTTATATAACTTTGATTTATACGGATTTCAAGAAAAGAAAATCAAGATAATTTCTTAGGAGTAAAAGGGCATACGCCATAATCATTGAAGAGATAAATACCACTGGTGCAAACTGGTTTATGTTTCTCTCCGCTGGGAAGTAATTGTTGTTATTTGTTAAATAAATTATTTTCTACAAACACTTCAGCGTGACTAGGAAAATACACTGGACTTCCTAATGATAGCCCAACTCAGCAACTACGTTTTAAAAAATGCAAGATGAAAACGCCATGGTAGATACTAGAGTTGCCCGAAACCGGTCTTGGTGTTGCACTATGCAATACCAAGACCAAGACTATTAATTACTACACATACTATTAATAATAAAATGCTTAGCGAACCCGAAGATTCGATGCCGTCCAAACCCAGTCCCTTCAGATCGACTTTAATGCAATCTTCCCACCTTCGCTTCAGTCTACCCCTCGGACGCTTACCCTTCGACACAGCAAATATTAACCTTTTAGGAATTCTCTCGGTACTAATCCCAACAACTTTACAAGCCCATTTGATTCGCCGTGATGAAATTAGCTCAATTATATTATCCGGATACAGTTTACGCAATTCGGCGTTGTGTAACCGTCTGAACTCTCCGGTTAACTCATCCTTCTTAGGTCCGAATATTCTACGCAATACTTTATTTTCGAAAACCTTGAGACGCTGCTCATCCCTTAATGTAAGTGGACAAGTTTCGCATCCTTAAAGAACTGTCTTAATTTTTAAGTTCCGGGACAAGATGCGCGAACTAAGTAGTTTTGTTACAGAAAAATAATAAGCATTTCCCGCCTTCAGTCTAACCTTAATCTCTTCTTCGATTTCGTTTTTTCTAGTTATCGTAGAACCTAGATACCTAAATACACATACTATTAGTAGACAATTTTAGTTACTATATGTAAAGAATTGGTAGGACCAATATACGTTTACATTCAACTCTTTTAATTTTTTCATCGGGGTTTAGTTTGGTTTCCTCACTCTGAAAAATGACAGTAATACATCTATAATATGTAGTCATGGATAATAAATATTCAGGACGCAGTCATAATAATGTTTTTATTAGTGCCGACGTTTCAACCCAAACATGTGGTTCATCATCAGGCCGTGTTTCGAGCACTGAAGGTATTCAAGTACGGTATTTGAGTACTTGAATACATTCATGACATAACAACATGAACCACATGTTTGGATTGAAACATCGGCATTAATAAAAACTATATAATGACTGCGTCCTGAATATTTGTCACCCATGATATGCAGAACAATCGAATAATTTCCTCCCATAATATGTTATGGTAACATTTTTAAAAGTTAATCTAATTTGCGACAAAACTACAAAAAAAATCGTCTAAATCGGGGCAGTTTCAGAAACATTTCAGTGTATATATAGTGTGAACTGTATACACTGATTTAAATAATTGTTCAATTGCTCGTTTACATTGCTTTAGTTCATCAAATAAATCGTACTCCAATGATTTTTTTTTTTTATCGTTTAGGAAGGAAATCAGTCTAATTGAATTGTGTTATTTTTAATAAACATATCTAAAATTTAAAAACAAAGTTTTAAATAGGTTGGATAGTCATCATGTGAGTGGATACAGCGTATTTTGTTGTTTACATAATTGGTGACATTGTATAGATTGTCTTAACAACTCTTCCATTCCAAGGTGGAATCTATCACTTTTTTTCTTGACAACCAATGCTTTTGATGTATTGTCAAATTAATTTTATTAATTTGGATGAACTTTACTGTGTTTATGTCAAAAAAACATGTAAATGTACCTATTCTGTAGTTGTTTTTTTTTTTGTAAGATCTAAAGTAATATGTTTAAGTAATAGCAATAAGCTAATATTTAACTACATTACTCTTGCGCAAGACCAAGAACAAGACTGAGTGCGCAGACTTGGTCTCGCATTTGGACAATATTAATAGATGCTATTACAAATATAATTTTTATGATGCATTTTAATAATTT